GGGGAAGTCGACGGGTGCTGACCCCGCTCGGTGTCACTCTCTCCAGCTATGGCATCTCGGGAGGCTTCCGAAACATCTTTCTTTAGCCTGAGTGATGTAAGAGAGCGGATGCGGGAGAAGAAGAAGAATGGTGCCTTGAGGACTGCAAAGTTGAACGCCTCAATTGCATCAAAAATCAAAACGAAAATCATTAGTAAGTGTATTTTGCCTTGCAGTGCGTGCAGAGGCTGGCAGCTATGTCAGCTTGTAACCGCGCCTTTGGCCGTGATGGTGGGCAGCAGTCTCTTACCCAGGGCTTGTATTTAACAGCTGGTTTTCTGTCCGTGGGTTTCTAGTGAATTCAGTAACCTGCAAATAAGTGCCACCTGAGGTGCCCAGAGGCGTCTGAAGTATCTGTGATTGGCAGGTTTAACGCAGAACCTTTGGAGCAGCGGTTGGGGGCATCGCAGGCTGCTCGGCGCTGTCTCACATGGCATTAGACAGCTGTGTCTGGGTAATTGAGTACTCAGGGTCCAAACAGCAAAAATAAGCGTGAAAGTATTTCAGTGTATATGCAATTCTGTGCAGAAGCTAGCCCAAGTGTGATTTGTTTTTATGAGGGAAATAATGCAATGATAGTGCATGAGATAATTTGAATTACCTTGAAAGAGTTGGATATTTCTGTTACTTTTATTTATTTGTTTCGAAATTGAGAAATGTGGATGTAAATCTGCTCAAAGGCTACTACTTTTTGGATGGAGATGAGGACTCAGAGCTATAGGTGACATGCTTCTGACTTTGATCAGATCTTTCTAAACTCAGCACCTGAACCACACCATCGTTCATTAGGAATTGAAGCAGTAGCTTGCTGATGATCCACTGAGGATGGAGAGGGTGTCTGTCTGAAGTATTGCAGGTTATTACGGAAAGTTTTTCCTGCTGTTCTCTGGAGACTTCTATTGCTGGAAGGAATCATACTGCTCACTTTGTGTAGAGGCTGTTAAGTTGTAGAGATCTGAGCCTGAGGGAGGCTATTCTGGGGAGAGGAAGAAGTATGGTGAGGGAAGAGTCATGAATGAGACCTTGGATGCTAATTCTGTGCGATACTTCTCTACCACTTACAGACAACTCCTCCACTATTAAAGTCTCCCTAAAGCACAACAATAAAGCACTGGCCCTGGCCCTCAATGCGGAGAAAGCCAACGCACAGCGGCTCAGCCATGAGAAGATCATCTTACAGAAGGAGGTGGAGCAGTGCCACTTTCAGAACGCTCTGCTGCGACACAAGCTCTCCTTCCTGGTATGGTACTAACAGCGTGGATGGCATGGGGAGGGGCGACAGGCAAGGTATGCAGCACTAGCATCCCAATCTTGGGAGGAGTGAGCTGTCACTGATTGTCCGTATTCTCTGCATATGAAAAATGTCACTGTTCATTTGCTTGCTCTTTCTTCCAAGCTGCTTTCTCCCCAGAACATGTCTTGCACTAGCTACCGGCATCCTTGTTGGAATAGATGTGTTGATTTAATGTCTGTATGGTTTGTCTTTATTACCTCAACATAGAATAACACCTTGAAGGAACTTGAAAACCTTGTGACTGCAGTTAAGATGGCTCGGCTCTCTGAGGTAAACCATGAGAAACGTGAGCACACTGCTTTGGAAGGGGGGCTGTGTTTGTCTCTGTCTTGTGCTTTGTGTTGCCTGCTTGCTTCAGTGTTTGATGCTTCAAGTGTTTTTCTTTCCTTGCTTGAATTGTGCTGGCTGCATCCTTGATTTTAGCGTGGTCTTAACGATTTCCAGGGTAGTGTCTTCTATAGGAAAGGCTACAGTTCTAAACTGCCTTCCTCTAAGTCATTGGCTGTATTGGCCGGTAGGGTCTTCTGCTATGACACGTTATGACTTCTTTTCAATTTCTTTTTTTAAGTGTTGCTGTGGCAACTTGGGATAGGAAATAGGACACTTTCCATATGTCCTGTCTCATGAGTGGGTGGGAAAATATTCCTGCTTCCTAGTCTGAGATTATCTGAACTAGTTTAACTTGATCATTAAGCCTGTGGAGACAGAATCTGACTCTGCTGCAAGTTATTCCATAATTTGTGCAATCTGAAATGGGAGAGGGTCACCAGCAGTATTTGACATACTTTTCAGGGTGAAACTGTGCTTCTGCTGTTTCTGTGCAGGAGGCTGCACAGGGGATTGCAATAGTTTTAAACCACCCTTCTATTTCTCTGCTTTCCAGTTCCATACAAGTTCTACATCCCTGTCCAATGGCCAGAAGACCAGCATGACTGAAGATAGCTGGGCCGATGATATTGCAGATGGTCAACTTGTGAGGTGGGCCTTAAAATGTCAGATATCAGCAAGGTTGTCCTGAATTTCTATATGCTAAACTTCCTCTTGTGTTTTTCGTGTGTGCCCAGCTGTCTGCTTTACATGAGATGTCTTCTCTAGACCACCACTGCTTAATGGTTTCCTATGCTCTATGTCTTTCTGCTGCCACTTCTTGTCTTTTTGTCTTAATGCCAAGTCTACGCATAAACTGCTCGTTCTCCCTCCTTTGTTTGAAAGTGCATTGCTTTTAGGTAGTTTTTCCTTTGTAGGTGGTGAGCACCTCAATATTTCCTTGAGGGAGTGAATGCCATAGCTGGCTGCTTTGATGTTTATTATATATAAATGCTTAATAGTCATTTGCTTGTATGATGTAAACTTGCATTCTGGAAAGAGGGTTGGAGCAAGATCTCTTAAAATATATTTGAAGTTCTGTTTCTCCTCTGTCTAGTCTCCCCTTTGAACCCAGGGGAGCCCTTGGAGTTGCCCACACACATACCTCCAAGCAGCCACATTAGTGTTCCACAGTGAGGTGAACCTGTGGTCAAAACCTGTGTGCTGAAAGGCCTTACTTCCTTGTTGCCTCAGTGTATTTTATTCCTGCTTCTGTGTCTGCAGCAGTGTGCTTTCCTTATGAGTTGTGCTTGCACAAAAATGAGAAGTGTGTCCTTGGCTGGGCAGTGTGTGTTCTTTGGCACTTGGAAACTTCAGAAATGTGTTTCAACAACTCTGGATGGAGGTGAAAGCTGTAGCTGTTCTACTGGATTCTGGGGCCTGTTGCAGGTACAGAACATGCTACATTGCTGTTATTCCTTCTCACCAGGGCTGCAGGGATGCCAATGAGGGTGCCTATTTCCAAGCTGTGTAATGCAGGACAGCAGGGTGGCAGTTCCATAGCAGTACAGACATCCTCACTAGATCTTCAGAGACCTTCTAATGAGCCCCTGGAAATTGTGCCTGTTGCTTCCAAAGATGCTTTGCCACCACAGTCTGCTGAGAAGCCTCAGTCTGACCAGGAAGAGAATGGGAAGAAGCCAACTAAAGCAATGGAAGCACAAGAGGGTTTTCTTGACTCTTGCATCTTTGGAGGTAGATTTGCATCTTCTGCTGTTCTTCTGGTGTGACTTTGCTTGTCTGTGTTGAGAAATGAATGAGTGCAGTGCTCCAGTTAGCTCCTAACCATTGCTCCAGCAGCTCCTAATTACTGTTAGGACTGCATGCTTCAGTGACACTGATATTGCTAGAATTATGTATATCCCAGAATGGGATGTCTTGATGGGGATGTTTGGCATGTGTGCAATAGCTCAAGGTCACTCATCAGGCTTTCTGAGTAATAGGCACTGAGCTTACATAAGGTTTTCAGAAATACCTGAAGGTGCAGAACCTGACTAGATGCACATCTTCTGTTCCCTGTGGATTTGCCATATAAATAATAACACTCATACAGATTGTGAGCATTCCTAAATGTTAGGGCTGGTTAACTGATCTTGCTTTGGGCTGCCTTTCTGTTCTGAGGGGAGCCAGCTGAGCAATTCTGTCAGTAAGTTTGGGGAGTCCCTGTAGAGACAAAATCATGCTTTTTCTATGCTCTGGATTTGTGACAGTGTATGGGGCATGGCTTTTAGTGGTATGGGGAAAGCTGGCATTTACCTGCATTTCTCAGTCTTAGGAATGAATTTTGTCTTTCCAGCAGATGCCTTGTGCGCCACTCAACAAAATTCCAACAATTTGCCAGCGCTCGCTTGGGAAGGTCATGCTCTTTCATATGAGGTTGATGAGATGGCAAAACGTTTCTTTGATCGTCTCTCACAAGGGCATGTTACTCAGAGGAGAAAGCGCTCCACCCTGTTTGCAACAAGCACTCCATCCTCTGGTGTGGATACCTTCCCGTGTGTCAGTTCCACTCAGGCAGCTCGGTGGAGTATCACAAAGGACAGCAGCAGCTCCAGCAATAGCAGCACACAGCCACAGCTGAAATCTCCCAGCTCCCTGGTTTCACCTACTCAAACCACTGTTATTCCTGACAGAAAATCTTTGGGTAAAGAGATTTTCTGTGATCTGCCACAGTCTAAAGAAACTGGGTGTGGTGTTGAAACAGACTCCAGCTATAGCCGAGTCCCTGAGTTTGTTCCTGTAAAGGTTAAAAGCAAAGGTAATTGTAAAACTGGTGAGAAAACAACTGTTAAAAAAGCAAGTACAGGAAGAAGAAAAACAAATGCTATGAAACGCAATGCAGAAAGTAGTCCTGATCTAACTCAAGATGAAGAGAGCGCTCAAAATGCAAAGAAGCTTCTTCAGCCAAAAGTTGCAACGTGTTCTAGTGAGTCTGAAGTTTCTGAGATGAGGCAGAAGGCTTGTGTGGGGTCTTTCAAGAGGAAGAATGGAGGCTGTGGTGTGGAGCAACATTCTTGCTCTCCTGATGAAGTCCGAGATCTCAGAAGAACATATGTAGTAAATCCACCACAGCTGCAGAGTCTTGGAAGTGGTGACTTACTGCAACAGCTTAAGAAGGAAGGTATCTTTGAGATGCAAAGTATGGAGAGCTTGTCAAAAAGCCCAGTCGGTGCCTTCTCAAGTCATGAAGTTCTCTCAGAGGATTCCAGTCTACAAAATTCACTTTTCTTGAGGAAAGAGACCTCAAGTGCCTGTGCTTTGCAAGAGGACTCAAGTGTGAGCACAAAGAGCATCAGACAGAAAACCAACAGAAAAACTAGAGTAATCAGGCAAAGAGATGACTCTGAGGAGAATCTGCCAAACAGTGTGAAAATACCAGAGGCCAAAGCTGAAGAACAGCCTAAAAGAAGCCGGACAAGTAGAAAGAAAACTGTCAGGAAGAGCAGTTGTAGTGATCAGAGAAATGAAGTTGATGTCTTTGGGCCATGTATAGATGTTCAAGGAGTAGCTAAGGAGAGCACAAAGTATTCACCAAGTAATCTTAAACGTAGCAGGAAAACTTACGTTGTCCATCCTTTGGATCTTGCAGGAAACTTCTGTTGTGCCCAGACAGAATTTGAAGGGGGTGAAATTGTACCTCCCAGGTCTGTTCCTGAGAGCAAAGCTAGCAAAATCCCCAGAGTTCAGAGGATGGTAGCTGCTCAGAGCAATAAAAACCAGACAGGCAGCCTTCAAGAAAAGGGGCAAGCTGAAATTGACAACAACATGAATGCTTTGAAAAAAGAGACTTATCCCAAACCAAAGCCTCAAAGGAAGAGGAACACTTCTAGTCCTCCAGAGACTGATTCCCTGGCCAGACAAAGTGATGGTGCTAATGCATCCATTGGAAGTTCAGCAGAACTTGCATCCAAGCAAACTGCCCTGACAGGGAAGTTTTCCTGCATTACAGATCTGCTGTCTGAGCCATATGCCTTCCTGAAGGAACAGATAGCTGAAATATCACTTACAAATAATCTTATGGATCTTTCATACAGTCTTGGATCTGCCTCTGTGACCTGTTCTGCAGCTTCGCCTGTCAGCTCCAGGCTTATGGATGTACCAGTTTCCAAGAGCTCAAGTACTGAGGGCAACAGAATGTCAGAGAAATCCTCTGATTGGCCAGGAAGTTCCGTGATATCGAAAGAAAAGACTGCAGAGGAAATACCTGGGAAAAGAAATCAGGTTGCTTCAAGTTCTCAGAGCTCACCTTCACAGGAACCTGGTAGGTGGTAGGCTGGGGAGGGGACCTGTGTTTGGAGACAAGTGCCAAAAATCCATGCAGCAAGTGCTTATATTTTTCTTCTCCTCTTTTTCTCAGAGTTAAAAGATCAGTGTCCAATACCCTATTTATGCTTCCGCTTGTGAGGCCAGTCGTTTCTGTGTTCTAGTTTGAATTTCTGGTCCCTTGTTCACATGTGGATAATTGGGAAAAGACTAGGACTGCGTGCTGCGAATAGTGTTTTACTGCTTGTGTTGTCTGCAGGGCATACCTGTCAATTTAGAAAATCAGTTACTCAGGCAGTTGAAAAGTGTAATTTGATGCTGACCGTGCCTACTAGAGTCAGCATTATTGGGGCATGGAATATGAAGAAGATGGCATCATTTGGTCCAGAATGGTTAGTGCTGCAAGGATTCAGACTTTATACCTCTAGGTGAAGATACTCAATGGAAATTCATCAGGAGCTACCTAAATTCTCTTGATTGTTATTTTGGTTTATTTTTTAAAAGGAATTGGAGGGTATCCCGTGGCTGGTAATACCATAATTAAGCTGAGTCTTTTTGGGAGCTTCCTGTTGCTAGATACTTTGTTGTTTTGTGGGTTTTTTCCTTCCTGTAGCTGTTGACAAACAGGCTTGTTAACAGCAAGAGTGGGCAGTACTTTGTAGAGAGGGAGGAAGTTTGTTCTCCAGCCCTCCCTCTCTTGGCTGACTTCACTTTGTGAGCTACAGTAAACACTGGCAGAGTCTCATGTCTTGCTGGAAGTCTTGCAGGTTGTTTGGGTGCCATAAGCTTGCTTTCTCCTTCAGGCTGTAAGCTCCTGGGCATTAGAACTATCAACTATCACTTTTGTATCATTTTTATACTACATCAGGGCCCGATGATACTAGCAGTATTAGCAACCTGTATTTTTTTCAGTGAGAAACCTAATTTGATCCACAAGCTGACTTTTGAGGAGCAGGTCTGGGACTTTTGGACAAAAATGGTCTCCTGAGTTTAGAGGGAACATGATTGGGTTCAAGATTGTGCAGTGTTCAGAGAAACCTGGTAACGCAGCTCTTCTCTGTTTGGCAGCTGTATTTCTTAGGATATCTGGAAATGACTTGGAAACACTTTGATCAACTCTTGTGTGATTGTCTCCCTCTCCAGAGATCAAGCCACTACAGGACTTGACCAATGCCAGGACACTGCCTTCCTCTGGCTTGGAAGAAGTGTTGGAGCGCTCATCCAGGCGGAGACGAGGCCCGGCCTGCTATGCAGAGCCAAAACTCAACAGGTTGGTCTTTAAACTATTCTGTCCCATGATCGTTCCCATGCTCCAAGCCCTGCTCTGCTCTAATGTGCTCGCTCTGCAGGGCTGGACTTTCTATCGCTTTAAGTTCCTCTTGCCCCTTGTGTTTCTGTGACCCTCCTCTTCTACCACAGTACGGTTAAGCCAAAATTCTGCTTTAGTACAGGTGCAGGCTTCTGGTAGCAAGCTACTAAAGATGTAATTTTCCTCACTGAAACGAGCACATCTCTTAGCAGACTGCATGTGTGGTACTCCAGTGCTAATGAGGGATTAGCATGAGGATAAAAAACAGGCTAAATAAAGACAGCTAAGCGGAAGCCCTAATTTCACTTGCTGCTATTCTGTGGTATCTAAAGTTTTATACAACAGCTAAGTAATACTTCCATTTGAATTGGGTTTCAGTGAAGGAAATGCTAGGTTTGGAGGAGAGTTCTTCCCTGTAAGCAGGCTGTATCTACATTCACTTTTGCTGGCAGATACGAGTACCTCAACAAGTAGACACATCTTTTCCCTAAGAAACTGTAGTTTCAGTACATGCAATAGCTACTGTACAGAACCATTTAACTCCTGAAATGATGACTTTCTTTGTTACGCTGCTGGGTAAGGCTATGTGTGTGTGTTGTTTTCTTTTTTTTTTTTTCCCCCTGAAAAAGTGTCACAGTTTGAACTTTCTGTGAGAAGTTGTTTATACTGGGTCAGAAGGTACTATGTCCTGGTACAGCTGTTCCTGGACTGGACAAGGAACAAACTGTACCACTCAGTCATCTTATAGTGGAAGTATTTCAGTAAAATCAGAAACTTTACAGACTGAAATAATACATGAATTCAAGAAATACATTGATGGTTCAATCTAACCCTTTTGGTTCTGCAGGAAGCTGAGGCAGGGTGACCCATTTACAAAGATGGAGTTCTTTTACTCCCCTTTCTACAAAACCAAAAAGAAGAAAACTGCCAAAGCCAAGGAAAAGACCAAGATGATCAAAGAAGCAAAAGAACAGCTTCAAGGAGGATGTCCCAGTGCCAAGGCAGGCAAGCTAATAACAATAGGAAGAGAGATGGAGCCAGAAGTAAATTAGTGGTTGAACAGGCAGTCCCCAAGC